ACCAGTGTTCAAACGTCATTATGAAAAACAATTAATAAATAAAATTGATGAAGTACAACAAGCAATTCCAATAAATCAACAGGATTCACAAACACGAACTCATTTAATAACAACAACAGAAACAACAACAAGTCAACAACAAATGCGTCAAGAACAAGAACAAGAAACATCATTAAATAATAATCATCGTTTACCAGTGTTCAAACGTCATTATGAAAAACAATTAATAAATAAAATTGATGAAGTACAACAAGCAATTCCAATAAATCAACAGGATTCACAAACACAAACTGATTTATTAGCAACAACAACAGCAGGTCCCGAACAAGAGTAAAACAATTTATTAAATGATTGTCATCTTTCACCGATATTCAAACGTCAAAATAAAACATTAGTAAATTTTGCACCTCAACAAAGAACTGAAAAACACACAGATCGAGCACAACAAACAATTAAAGTAAATCAACATGGTGCACAAACACAAATACAAGCGGCTTTGATAACAACAACAGCATCAAGTGCTCCACTTGGACAGGTAAATAATTGAAATTTGTCCTATCTGTGATTTAATTTTCTACTTAATTGAAAGTCTCGAGTCTAAGTTTAAATCAATTTTATCGATTGAATATTATTATTTCAGGCATTTGGTTTACCTCCATTACCTGAACATAATCCATGTGACAATAGTATAGCTCGACCTGAATTATGGATAGTACATAATAATACAATGATTCGATTACTTTGGATTGTACCTTCAACATCAATGGGATCTATACGAGAGTATGAAATCTATACATATCAACAAGGTGTAACAACAACGTCATCTGATTGGAAAAAAGTATGGATAATAATTATTATGATAAATTATAATGAATTTGTTGTTTCTTTTTTTTTTTAGACTGCGACAGTTAAACCAATGGGTTTACGAATGGAAGTTAATATAAACGACTTTCAATATAATTGTCATTATGCATTTGCTATTCGAGCAATATCAATTCATAATAGTATTGGTCCTTTTTGTGCACCAACAAGAATATTTATAGGAAATTCACCTATCGAACATCATTAATACAAATTAAATATTTAGTATATCATTGTAATGAACATTTGTCTATTCGAGTATTTCTAAATTGTGTTCTAATATATGCATGATATTATTCTTATTTTCTTGTTACTTTATTTTCTTTTTGTTAACTTTATAAATACAAATATAGTTGTTGTCTAAGAAAATAATGGATATAATACTTTCTTTTTAATAGATATCAAAATTTCATTTATTAATATTAAACAAAAAAAAAAGTTTTAACAATATATAAATAGATATGTTAAACTTGTTAATATTCTTCAAATATTGATCATGTTAAAAGATCTTCAAAATGAATTTAGACGGATGAATACATAAATAAATTTTATTGTCGTTGGCTTTATCTCAAGAAGCACTATTAGTCTGAAATGAGCTTCATATACTACTCGACAGAAGTGATTTTATTTAATAAATGAATTCTACCAACTGTTGAATCGTTTTTTTGAATCAAGATTATATACGACATGTCGATACTCATAAGCTATGAACAGACTAATAAAATCTCGAGTTGTTTGTTTATTGCTACGAAAACACTACACGTTTAAAACAGTTTTTAAAGTCAAAAGCTGTTGTTCGCATTAGAAACACTTTAGCAACTGGTATTCGATCTTCAACTTGGAGCTTATCATTGAAATGGGACTTAATCAGAATATATTGTTGTGAAAATTTCAGATTTTTTTGGATTTGCTCGTATCTTGAAATAGAAACATCGAATCTGTCTCTGCTGATAATCACTTTAAAAGACACACTTTACCATAGACGACGTCTCTCAAGATAAGAAATAACAAAAAGATCTGAAACTTTCGCAATAAGCTATTCTCTCATTAAGACATTTGTCTGTGAAATTTTCAGAAGGAAATTTAAAAATCAGTTCTAGTAGTTTTCTTAAGTAAGCCCACGGTACTGACTTAAAAGATACCGAAAGAATACAATATCCCTACAACAGTGGAGTCAAGGACCTAAATAGTTAGAACTCAAAAGCGATTTATCCATTGGAAGACTTCCCTTGTATGAAGTAAAAATTATGGCACTACATTCTCTGTTTTCTTGACATTCTTACACTGTTAAGTATAATTAAACAATGTAATGGAATAAAATCTTAAATCTATCTTCTTGGAATTGAAATGATCCCACTGGCATTTTGTATTCAAGACTGAAAGAAATCATTCGAACAAGACAAACGTTTTTCTTCTAGTTCATAGTCAACAACAAACCATTCACATTAAATTGTTGTTAAAGCACAGCTCTATGATTCGGGCATAAATGGGCTAATAATATTGTTCAATAATCTCTGTCGAAACTCATTGAAATCCTTGCGAAATGAATGACACTTTCGCATGAAACAAAATTTATCGGTGTGAAGCTAGCACGGCGAGTAGCTAACACGACGGATTTAGGTGAGCTTGGAATCTGTAACACTGGACGTTGTTGGGGCGGAAGTTGGGTGAGGGTGCTCAGCAATATGTATCCAAGCACCCACACACAGATCCCGCTCCCAAAAGTCCAAGTATTCAGGATTTTAGATTAACCTAAATCCGTCGTGGTAGCTACTCGTCGTGCTAGCTTCCCATCGATAACAATCTCGACCCCTTCGCGTGACCCCTATATGTAACTATCTAATAAGATTTTTAAATGAATTTAATAGCAACAAACAATAATATACTGTCAATCTAATCAACGAGTCATGAATACTATTGTTTCAATTGTGTTTAATATGGAGGAGCAGGGTTCTATATTGCTGTTCATTTTTATTACTATTAATTGTCACCAATTGAGTATAATTATTTTTAGTTAGTATCATCAATTTTCTTTGTTTTTTTTTATATTGATCATAGGAGAGCTGTTATTATTGTTTATTAGCTAAACATGAAATAGTTTCTCATTATTTTATTACTTATTAAAATCATAAATAATAAAGAATAATAAATGATTATTCTAATAAAATAATAACAAAACAATAAATAAAATATGAGAAAAATACGAAGTATACATAATTTATTGATGCATAAATATTATATTTATTGATTACATATAGTTATTAATCTTTTGGCTACGAATTTGATTTTCCAGATACAATTCTACGAAAAATGTTTCCGATGTTACAACACATATTTACTTATTCTATATGTATATCACGACGAAGAGTAGAGAGAGTATAGAAGAAGAAACTCACCACCACAAAGAGAAAAAAGACAATCGACAGACTTTCCATAGTTAGCTGGACCAATATCACTGCTAACAATCAGGTATAATATGTGATATTCCCGTAGCCAAAGGGTTAATTAACACTCGTCAATGTTCGATAGCTGATAGACCGAAGATTTATTTTGGACAATATTGTTATACACCTGATCCAACGAAATGTGATTTTGATTACGTTTATTTTGCTTGTAATACAAATAAATGTAATAGTCTTGCGAATGAACTTGCTATTAAAAATTTAATTGGATTTAATGATAATAAAAATCTTGGTTTAATGAAAACGGGATATTTATATCTAGTATATAGCTTGTATTTTATTATTTCATTTATAAGTTAAACAAATGTTTAACTTATTTAAAAATAAAAGTTTGAAATCAATGTTTTACAATGATCA